AATTTGTGTATAATATTATATTATATAAATATAACTTATATACTCGTGAATAAGTATCCCTTTCCAGAGTAAAGGTTTGATTGTACGCGTTTATAACACTGTATGAAATATCTTCTGCTGTCTTCCATCGCCAGCGCCACGCGTGGTCAAAGTATTCACCACTGCCTCACACACGTCCCACTTACTTCATTAAACTGAATGGTACTAACATTACGAAAGAGAAAGCTGAATTATGATAAAAGTTCTTTAGTTTTAATTGTAAAAACATTAGAATATTAGACGCAGCCTTCAAAGAATATTAAACCAGTTGTCAGCACAAAATATAATGAGGTGGAGTAAAACAAAAAATTTCACAAGTTAATGTATTAAGAGTAAGTTTGATTGTCCCATGAACATAAAATGCGATTATGAATTTTTCATTTGCAGATCCTACATTTGACAACGATCACCCTTCGAGCATCCCAGAGACGATTCTGTGGATTGTGATACCATCAGGAGGGGTGGTCACAGAAGATCGGGTTCTGCAGATAGCAACGCATCAGGCGGACACGAGGAAAGCACAGAAGAGGAGGCACATCCTCAGTCCTGAAGACGGAGGAGAGCCACCGAAGAGAAGACTTGTATGAAGAAACATCTAAGCAGAACCTTATGCGTGGATGCATCCAGAGCGACGACGAAGAATCATCGTCAATGCTTCCTGTAGTGGAATGAAACAGCCTGCAGAAACATCGCAGCCACTGATTCTCCATTACAGTAAGCAGCAACTGGCTTTTTCAATGTGTAACTTCGGCTTACTGGAATAAGCGGCATGAAATGTTGGTTTCTGGATGTTTCGGCAAGCATTTGCGTTGTTATCTTCAGGGTAATGTCTTTGGGAAAATTAGGAAGCCTCATTTTAATACGGCAGTGGGTGGTGGTGGCATGACTAGAATACCTGAGAAGCAACGACCTATTCAATTAAGGGGGGAAACATTGTCAGTTTCTTCTTGTTTACCTGTTAATCTAAGCAAATTCGTTCGTCCATGTTTACAGTATTTCTGACCCCCCGCTCCCCCCCCCCAAGTTAAATTTTTTAATTTTTCCACTTTTTCAACATTACGTACTGTGGGCTATAAAAAGTAGTTAAGGAGTCTCTTAGAGAGACATTCTTTTTTCGATTTAGTTCCGTCCTTTAATACAAATCTTCACACTTGTTTCTCTAACCCTTTTTTTAAAATGAAATATAAATTCATTCCACAACTGCCTAGCATCAAGAAAAAAATTATAGT